TAAATACTGTTCACATATTGCTTCAATGTAAACACTTGATCTACACATCCCCTACCCACTCTGAACCCTCCTTGCTCGTCCGCAATTCTACATTCTGTCTTACCTCTAATTCTTTCAATTAGTTAACCCTACCGTATATTTTTCCCGGGTTTATACTCAGTAAACTTTTTCCCTTTAAAATTTTTTACAATCTCTTTTGCCCCCTTTCCCTTTATATAAAGGGATTTTCTATACATGCTCTCCCCAATCCCTAGGTACCTTCCCCTCTTTCATACATTATAAACAAAAGTACCAACCACTCAACACTATATCCCCCATGTTTTAACATTCTGTCATGATCCATCAGTTCAGCTGCTTTAAAACCCTTTCATTTACGTAATGCTACGTACCTCCACCACACTACATTCTCTCTTCTTCACCTAAAAGATGGTATACCTCCTGGCAGTGCATGAAATTACCGCCTCCTTTCTTCCTAACATTAAAAAGTTCTCAAAATATCCGCCATTACCTAATACTCCCCTTCCCCATCTACTAATCCCCTACTCTGTTTTAAATGACAAATCCATACTTTCCCCAGGCTTTCTTAACTTTTTTAACTCACTCCAAAAATTTTTTTTTTATTTTCATTAAAAATTTTTTGACAGGCTTCCCATCCTTTTAAATTTTCCCCCCTTTTGGGACTCTTCCCACTCTCCCTTTCCCCTTTTTTTTTACTCTCCTATACTTGCTCCCTTTTTATAAAAAACTTTTTGGGTTTGTAAAAACCTTTTCGTTTGCTTCCTTTTTCTCTTTTTCACACCCCTTTAACTTTATCATTCCCCAATCACTCCTCTTCCTTTCCGCCCCCACCCTCCTTAAACCCCCAAAAATTCTGGGGCCCCACATTTTTTAAAAACTGCATTTTTTAAAAAAATACCAACCCTCTTTAACCCCCCACCCTACCATCTTTGCACTGCCCACCTTTCCGCCAAAAGCGCTTTTTATCTCGCCCCCCAACTTCCCCCCCCTTAGTTTTTACACTTTCACCTCCCTCTTTCTTGTTGGGGGTTTCCACCCTTTGTTTTCCCCTCTACCCCTTTACTCTAACTGGAAACTACAAATAAATAATGATCCGAAAATCGTTGCCCCCCTATAAACATGTTAAAATCCTGGGGCCTACCCATCAACCTTTTATCCCCAATACATAAACTAACAAACTACCCTTTATTACTTTCTACATCATACCCTTTTATTTTATTTATCCTCTTTTTTTATAAAAAAGTATTACTTAATTTCCAAATTTCTTTCTACACATAGTCAATTAAAGGTCCCCCTTTTTCATTTTCCCCTGGCACCCCCCAAAATTTACCTACTACTCCCTCCATAAAATTTTTTTCCCCTTTAGCATTGAAATCCCCAACCCCCATTTCTCTCACACCCCCTTTATTCAAAAAATCCCCCGCTTTTTTCCCCAAAATTTCCCCCGAATCTTCTTTTCTCCTCTACAAATTTTCTTCTTCTCCAAAGGGCATACAGCTTACTAAAAACCCAACTTTCACACCAATCTTTATTTTTTTTTCCCAAAATCCTTGAAATTTTTTAAAATTTGGAGTCCCCCCTTTTCCTGCCATAGCTTTCCTTCAACCCTTAAATTTCTACTCCTTCTTTTTGCTTTTAACTCTATTTGAAAACCCCCGACCTAATCCCATTTATTTCCTCTCCATTTGGAAAGTCCCACCCCCTTTAGCTTTGTTTCCCCTTAAAGCCAGGAAAATTTCCCTTTTCTTCTCATTCATAAAATCCACAATATCCCCTTTTTTTTCAATTTTCAAAAAACATTCCCCAACCCCCAAATTTTTAGACTTCCCACTTTTTACAATTTTCTTCTTTATTCTTTTAGTAATCTTTTTCAGGAAAAAAGGGGTTTTCTAGCCCCTTGTTCCCCCCCCTTTTAGTTGACTTTACAAAACCATGGCTTAGGAGGGAAAAATTCTTATTCCACTTCCCCCTGGATTTTAAAAGGAAAAAATAAAAAGACCCAAAAAACTATTAAGATAAAATTTAAAGGGAAAACCCCAAAGAGTGTGTATAAAAAAACTGTAAATTTAAAGGTAGTGTGACCTAAAAGGGAAGTAGAAGTAGCAAGCGTACCTGGAATTTTTGCATATTTTTTTAACAGACAAAAGCAACCCCCCCAAAACCTACCATCATGTAAAAAAAAATTTCAGGCTTTTTGTTTACACTCACTTTGGCAGGGAAGGTAGTACCCCCTGGGTTTGGGTTTCTGTCTACCAACCTACTACCTAGGGAATTGTATCTCATTTTTTTGTTGGATTATCTTATTGAAGCTTGGGCAATGTATGATGGAAAGTTGCTTCTTAATGTACACCAAAAATGAAAGAAATCTAAGTATAAATAATGGAGTTCACGTCTCGGCAATTACCACCCCTTAGCAGTATTTTCGTAGTTTTTATGGTTGTATTCTCGTTTTTTGGTCTCATTTGACAGAATGGAAGATATGTTACAGAAATAGACATGATTTTGATTGCTTTCACAACAAAAAGTACCTTGAAATTGAGCTCAACATAGGAGAAATGTCCGATTGTTTTGGCTATGTTCAAGAGTAAACAAATGACATCACTGTCCATTCCAATATGCAGTCGTGAATGGGTTAACATTATTTATACAATTATTGCAATACAGCATAACAGTAAATCTTATTTTTTTGTGAATAAAAATTACAAATTATTTATATTGTAATAATAATATGTAATAATAATAATAATAATAATAATAATAATAATAATAATAATAATAATTTTAATAATAATAATAACAATAATAATATGTATAATAATAATAATAAATAATAATATGTATAATAATACTTATAATAATAATAGTATAATACATATAATAATACGTGAAGAAATTAAGACATGTGCAACATCTGGGTATCTTTATTGTACAATAAAGATACCCAGATGTTGCACATGTGTCTTAATTTCATCTTGTCGGTATTATATACCATTCTTGCACATAATAATACGTCTTGCTACTTCTACTTACACTTAGGTCACACTACACATACATGTACAAGCATATATATACACACACCCCTCTAGGTTTTCTTCTATTTTCTTACTAATTCTTGTTCTTGTTTATTTCCTCTTATCTCCATGGGAAGTGGAACAGAATTCTTCCTCCGTAAGCCATGCGTGTTGTAAGAGGCGACTAAAATGCCGGGAGCAAGGGGCTAGTAACCTCTTCTCCTGTATATATTACTAAATGTAAAAGGAGAAACTTTCGTTTTTCCTTTTGGGCCACCCCGCCTCGGTGGGATACGGCCGGTGTGTTGAAAGAAAGAAAGAAGAAAAGGAGAAACTTTCGTTTTTCCTTTGGGCCACCCCGCCTCGGTGGGATACGGCCGGTGTGTTGAAAGAAAGAAAGAATAATAATAATGTACTACATAATAGTAATTATAATAATGGATGGCTTCAAAAGGCTGTCACTAGATGGCAGTGTTTACCACAACAAAGAGGGAGTGGTTGTGGCTGCCTCCACCTGTTACATTATGACATATTTTATTCATTCTAGAGTATTTATAGGGTTTCTATGTTATTTATATTGTTTATTATTTCAGAGTTGATGATAGCGAAATATTCAAGGAGTATTTTGTCCCGTCTCCAGACAAACTCTCGTCGGCTGCCGCCACCGCCACATACACTTACCATCCGACTTACAACCTGCTCGACATACGACCACTCGACTTATGACCGTGTTTTTTATGCAAAATTTCTGGGAAATAAACAACTATTTGTGTTGGACACAGTGTTTATCCTAAACCTTATAGTATAAAACACAGTACAGTGGACCCCCGGTTAACAATATTTTTTCATTCCAGAAGTATGTTCAGGTGCCAGTACTGACCGAATTTGTTCCTATAAGGAATATTGTGAAGTAGATTAGTCCATTTCAGACCCCCAAACACACACGTACAAACGCACTTACATAAATACACTTACATAATTGGTCGCATTGGGAGGTGATCGTTAAGCGGGGGTCCACTGTACTAACAGCATAAAAAGTAAAGTAAAACATGAAATACCAAAATAAAACAATAAAATAAAGTCATTACAAAAATGTGATGTTGATATTCAGTAATAAGGTTTGACTTACGTTCATTTCGACTTACGACCGGTTTCTCGGAGCCAAACTCAGTCGTAAGTCGGATGGTACCTGTATATAATGACATATTTTATTCATTCTAGAGTGTATATCAGGCTTCTATGTTATTTATATTGTTTGTTATGTCATATTAGATGAACTGTGATGGATAAATAAGCCGTATAGATAATATTAGCGAAATTATTCAAGTAGTGTTTTGTCCTGCCTCCAGACAAACTCTTGTCCACCGCTGACACCGCCCATACCACTATATGAATTACATATTTTATTCATTTTAGAGTAGATATCAGATTTCTATGTTATTTATATTGTTTATTATGTCATATTAGATGAAGTGAGATAGATAAATAAACCATAGAGTTGATATTAGTGAAATTATTGAAGTACAGTGGACCCCCGCATAACGATTACCTCCGAATGCGACCAATTATGTAAGTGTATTTATGTAAGTGCGTTTGTACTTGTATGTTTGGGGGTCTGAAATGGACTAATCTACTTCACAATATTCCTTATGGGAATAAATTCGGTCAGTACTGGCACCTGAACATACTTATGGAATGAAAAAATATCGTTAACCGGGGGTCCACTGTACAGAATTCCACTGGAATGGATTAATTGCATTTCAATTAATTTAAATGAGGAAAATTGACTCTGCAAACGAGCAAATCCAGTTGCGAGCAAGGTCATGGAATGGATTAAACTCGCAAGTAGAGGTTCCACTGTATGTGTTAAATCATTAAAATAAATAAATGTGAATTACACATTATGCTGTTTACAGGTTATAAATTACAAAAAACAAATTATTTTTATGCTGCTGTAGCATAAAACTGTACCTGTGTCATTGAGAGCGGTGGTTTGGGACTGGCCCAAAGAGTCATGTGTCTTGACTGTGTTTCCATGTCCCACATTGCTATTTCATTGTTGCCATTAACAGCAGATACCACCCAAGAACCTTCTTTTGGATGCATACTGACACGACGCACCCCTGCACCTGGTAAAAGGAATGGTTTTTAAAATCTAAAATACCAAAGCACAGACCATTCATCACCATGTATATTAACCAACTTCTTTTGACCATTTGATGGATAACTATTACTAAATTTAAAAAGAGAAACTTTCGTTTTTCTTTTTGGGCCACCCTGCCTTGATGGGATACGGCCGGTTTGTTGAAAAAAAAAAAATAGATAACTATCTTTTTAGGGTCACCCTGTCTCAGTGGGAGACAGCCAATGTCTTATAAATATAATACGAGTAATACCCTACACATTAACATTTGTGCAAAAATAAGCTCCTGGGGTGTAAATAGAAAACTAGCTAAAATAATATGAATTTGCAAGAACTGAAAGAAAATTCTGCAATCTAACTATCCATGAAAGCAAGCCAAGGTGTGTGGAACAAAGATAAAAAAAAATAAAAAAAATATTAATTTTTGTTCTGGTAGGTGGTAAACCCATGCAGGTCACTAAAGTGACCATGAGACTAAGATGCTGAACCCCATGATGAGTCAGTAATGTGGCTTACTAAACATTAATACAGACTGAAAGAAGACTTTTTTTCTTTAACACATAGCACATCTGCCACCAATGTAATGAAACTCAAAAAAAAAAGAAAAACACATTCACCATCATTCATTCAATAGCTGTCTTGCCAGACACAAGCCTTTTAGATATTGAAACCTCTAGCACTCAAAATCTCCTTTACCCCCTCCCTTCCTGGCACAACCCCTGCCACTCCTTCCCTACACCTTCTCAGATTCATATACTCTCCTAGTCATTTTATTTTGTTCTATCCTCTCTAAATACTAAAACTTTTATTTTTTAACACAGTGGCTGTCTCCCACTGAGGCACGTTGACCTAAAAGAGAAACAATACTCATACTATGATAATCAGACACAACACAACACAGACACTGAATTTACAAGTACCAAAGAACAAATGAAAAGAGTAAAAATAAACATCTGCCAATGTAAATTTAACTGATAAAAAAGTTTCCAAAACATATTTTATTGTTAATTGTATGGAAGTAACCTCTTTGATGAGTGATAGTGGAGATTGGCAGCATAAATCGCAGATCCCAGCACACGTGGTGACCACTACTGGTCCCGGCAACCAGCCAACTTTGTGTTCCTTCTAATGCATATGATGTAATAACTCCTGCAAAAGTAAAATAATATTTACATACTGAGATATTACATTCTTGGATTGTTATAATTCATGCTTGAATAATACAAATGCTCTATAAAAGAGAAACAATGCCAAAGAACATACAGTTTTTCCACTAGGTACAGTATTTGAATATTTTACTGAACTGACAATTTGTTCATGTGGCAACACAATCTGCAGAATTGCAATAAAAGAACATTACATTACCCAGTTATTTGATTTTAAAACCCTTTCATTGTGACATAGAATATTTGCCTTTAACTGGCACAAATGCACCTGCATTTACTCTGCCTGTAAGAAGTGCATATTCTGTCACAATGTGAAAATAAAAAAAAAATACCACTCATGCTTTAATAACCTACACAACCAGAGTACTGTAATATAATATCAGAGATGATATTATATTACTCTAAGAATTATGTGAAAAATTTCCACAATGCCAACTGTAATTATGAATAATGACCCTCCTCCAATGTGCATCCAAGGATTTTTAAGCAGACTAACTTATAATGTATTGTGATTCAGAAGAAAACAAACCTCCTTTTATCAGAAAGAAATTACGAAGCAGAATGTCCTCCAGAAATGAATTTATTTCCTGGCTAGAGCTTAATCAATCTACCATGCAATGCAAAGCTGTGGAAGTTTTATGTAAGTTCTTCAGCTGAAAATAAGGCAAAAATACTGAGGGGCTCTATGTTGACCACTGTCTTTGCACAATGATGATCTTGCTGTAGTGTATATAAGCCTGGCGACACAAATACTGAAAATGACTACAGATGTTGCATAGATTGTAGAACCTTACTGATGCTATTAACTATACTCATAACCATTTGTGGTAGCTGGCATAGTGATGATACATTCTATGGTGAACAAATATCTAAACTATAAACCAAACTCATGGCTTATGTTTATGTTGTGAAAAGTCTGGACTCTCCATTAAATAACTTGACTTCTGTCTTGTCAACTGTTATTATTTTGGAAGTGTACAAGGTATAATTTGGTAAGGAAATGCATGTTATTTTTACCAACAGTGATGGTAGATGACTGTGTGAACGATAGTGGTTGTAGCTGATATTGAAAGTCACATTTATGTACATATATTATACCAGGCCACACACGCTGACAGCTGTAAGCAACAGCAACCACTGGTATAATTTGGTAAGGAAATGTAGTTTGCTTTTACTGATGTTGGTAGTTGATAGTGATGGAAGCTTATACTGGCTACCACATATATGTACAGTGGAACCCCGATTTTCATCTTTAAACCGTTCCAGAAGGTCGAGTGAAAACCGATTTGTACGAAAACTTAAGTAATATTTCCCACAAAAAATAATGTAAATCCAATTAATCCATTCCAGACACCCAAAAATATTATCAAAAAATACATTTTATAGAGAATAACTATAGTTTTACATACAGAAAACAATGAGAAATAAATATAAAGCAATAATGAAATGGATAAATGAACATTTAATATCACTTTTACCTTTATTGAAGACTCTTGTTGGCGTATGGAAGACGGCGAGGAGGGATAAGGGAGGACAAGTTATCTCTACCACCCTCTACCACAATCACTACCACCCTCTACCACCATCACTACCACCCTCTACCCTTGTAGAGGGTGGTAGTGATATTTCTCCACAAAACTTTGCAACTCATTCTGCTTTCATACTTTGCAACGAGTTCTTTCTTGAATTCTCTTGTGTTTCTCGCCTTCTTTATCAAAGGGCTGGCACTCGGAACTTTCTTTGGTCTCATGGTGGCTTATTTAGCAGTCGCACTCAATAAACAAGCACAAAAAACAATGGATTATTACTAAATGCTTTGTATGAAAGCGCAGGGTAATGTTCACTCGATGAGAAACAATACCAGACTGACTCAGAATGTGTGCATGGGATGCTTTGTGTAGGCATGGGCAGATGGACGCGTTCTGTATGGTGGACGGAAACTGAGGTGACGAACAAAAACTAGGACAATATTTAGACGAAAAAAGTCATCGAAAACTGAATTCGACGAAAACCAGGGCAAATAAAAACCGAGGTTCCACTGTATTTTCAAAATTATATAATAAACACGCTACATAACATATAAACATGATAAATACACCCCACAGTAGAATAAATTTTTTAATGTTTTTTAATGCGTACTTCTATTGCTAACTTAATATTTGTTAGTGTAAACTTGTTATCTAGCATTAATAAGGGGAAAAAGGGCGTTCCACTTTACGACAATTTTCACTTTACAGCGGTAGCCTGGAACCTAACCTGCCATATAAGTGAGGCCCTACTGTATACTGTGATTTCATATAAAGCATCAAATTTCAAAATGTAATCTGTATGATATGTGGGAGTCTACTGTATACGAAGACTACAGTATTTTAAATTGTACCAGTGAAGCTTAAGATCTCCTTGCAATTTAATTCATACTGTATGATCTTCCAGTCATGATCTTTTTCCCAAGACTGCTAGAAACACACACAAACACACACACACACACTCTTACTCTCACACACATTCTCACTCTCATATGCACATACATGTACATACACACACACACACACATTTTTTAATACAATACATTTTTATTACAAAATCTATTTCTTAATTTTACCTATTATGGGTTTCTCCAATTACTATTACGTATATAGAAGTTTTATTTTATTTTTTTATTATCACACTGGCCGATTCCCACCAAGGCAGGGTGGCCCGAAAAAGAAAAACTTTCACCATCATTCACTCCATCACTGTCTTGCCAGAAGGGTGCTTTACACTACAGTTTTAAACTGCAACATTAACACCCCTCCTACAGAGTGCAGGCACTGTACTTCCCATCTCCAGGACTCAAGTCCGGCCTGCCGGTTTCCCTGAACCCCTTCATAAATGTTACTTTGCTCACACTCCAACAGCACGTCAAGTAATTAAAAACCATTTGTCTCCATTCACTCCTATCAAACACGCTCACGCATGCCTGCTGGAAGTTCCCTACATTAATTCCATCATCCATCTATCACTCCATTTGCTCAATATATCTTAGTCTTCTTGTAGAGATTCAGTAATTTTTTATTACAAGGTATGCTGAAAACAAATTCATATAATTTTTAGTTACTTCTGGCAAGAGTTTTATACAAATCAGAAACATTAACAGAGCAAGTACTGATTCTTGTGGCACTCTCCTGGAGTTATTTACCCCATTAAGGAATTTTTATAAATAAATTTTTATATTTTCCTTAAAAACACAGACCAAAAATTCTTTGCATCTATTATTTTTTCTTGACAAAAATACAATGTTAAAATTCTTCCTCCGTAAGCCTTGTGTGTTGTGAAAGGCAACTAAAATGCCGGGAGCAAGGGGCTAATAACCCCTTCTCCTGTATAAATTACTAAATTTTAAAAGAGAATCTTCCATTTTTCTTTTTAGGTCACCCTGCCTCAATGGGATACAGCCAGTCTGTAAAAAAAAAAAAAAAATACAATGTAGCCATATTGAGTATTGCTCTTTGGTTAGTTGTCAATGTAACCACTAAGCATATTGAGGTCCTTATTTTCACATATTACCAGCTAATGCCTCTCTCATAAAAATTCTGTCAGCCTATTTTGTAGCCATCGACTAACTGGTGTCATCATATCAATATCTGTGTTGAAGCACTGTCCTCCCAGGAACTTCTTCAGAGGCCCAAGCAGATGGAAATTGTTGGGGGTGAGACCAGGGCTGTAACTGTATTTTTCTGAGGAAAAAATAATGATGCAAAGACTTTTCAATCTACCCTTGTATGTGCCCAATATTTTTATAGATTAATATTTTTGTTGAACTTTATTGAAAGTTGCTTTAAGTCTTAAAGCAGCTTTCAATAGAGTTCAGTCTTAAAACACTGTAGTTTAATCAATCCATTTTGCCCTGGATAATTTCTGTGACTGTCTCAGTAGTTTAATATGTCAAATAAAAATTTTTTTTTTATTAACACATCGGCCATTTCCCACCAAGGCAGGGTGGCCCGAAAATGAAAAACTTTTATCATCATCATTCACTCCATCACTGTCTTGCCAGAGGTGTGCTTACACTACAGTTATAAAACTGCAACATTAACACCCCTCCTTCAGAATGAAAAGCAAACTGCTAGACAAGAGATTTTTCCAGTACAGTATTTTAACAAGAATGATTGCCAGAGAAACTTTTCTATTAATCTAAATATTCTTTGTCACTTGCTGAAGATGAGTACTGAGTTTATTTGGGATGCATTACTACTAAAAATAGGTTTGATGTGTTTGAAATTACCAAGGGGCATATAGTATACTTATGATATACCTGTTGACTGGTTTTGAGAGTTTCTCTATCCTCACAGCCCAGCCTGAGCACAGGCTTTAATCTTGATTGCCTAGTCAACTAAGATGATGATGTTAGTGATCTGCTGACCCACATATCCATTGCAAGCTAGTCGAAGTAATGATCTAGTTTCCTCTTGAAAGCTTTCATACTTGTTCTAGTAATATTTTTGATAACTCCTCGTAGCAAGCTGAATAGTCTTGGAACATGAATGCTGCCACAGTGTTCTCTTATTGCGACCATGGTACACCTGCTTTTCACTGGGTCTGTTTTACATGTTTCTCTCGCTTCACTCCAGAGAACACACTCCAAGTATTTTGAGGCAGTGCCTGTAGTTTAAAAGCTTCCTTGGCTCTACCGTCTCTGGTGATAAAACCCTGATGATACTGTCCAATACAATGCACTATTAATACCAAATAAACCAGCCACTTCACAACACTACCACCTCTTGTGATTTTTAATGGGCATATTCCCCACTGTCGTCCTGCCAAGTGAGTGTAAATTGTTTTACATGATGGTAGGATTGCTGGTGTCTTTTTTCTGTCTCATAAACATGCAAGATTTCAGGTACATCTTGCTACTTCTACTTACACTTAGGTCACACTACACATACATGTACAAGCATATATATATATACACCCTTCTGGGTTTTCTTCTATTTTCTTACTAGTTCTTGATCTTGTTTATTTCCTCTTACCTCCATGGGGAAGTGGAACAGAATTCTTCCTCAGTAAGCCATGCGTGTTGTAAGAGCCGACTAAAATGCCAGGAGCAAGGGGCTAGTAACCCCTTCTCCTGTATACATTACTAAATGTAAAAGGAGAAACTTTCATTTTTCCTTTTGGGCCACCCTGCCTCGGTGGGATATGGCCGGTGTGTTGAAAGAAAGAAAGATGGTAGGACTGCTGGTGTCCTTTTTTCTTCTCATAAACAAGCAAGATTTCAAGTACATCTTGCTACTGCTACTTACACTTAGGTCACACTCCACATACATGTACAAGCATATATATATACACACACCCCTCTGGGTTTTCTTCTATTTTCTTACTAGTTCTTCTTCTTCTTCTCTTTTTTAGTAAATGTCTACAGGAGAAGGGGTTACTAGCCCATTGCCCATTGAGGGGAAAAGGGTGAGTGGTGCACTTAGGAGTCTGTGGAGACAAAGAACTTTGTCCTTGGAGGCAAAGAGGGGAATGTATGAGAGTATAGTTTTACCAACGCTCTTATATGGGTGTGAAGCATGGGTGATGAATGTTGCAGCGAGGAGAAGGCTGGAGGCAGTGGAGATGTCATGTCTGAGAGCAATGTGTGGTGTGAATATAATGCAGAGAATTCATAGTTTGGAAGTTAGGAGGAGGTGCGGGATTACCAAAACTGTTGTCCAGAGGGCTGAGGAAGGGTTGTTAAGGTGGTTCGGACATGTGGAGAGAATGGAGCGAAACAGAATAACTTCAAGAGTGTATCAGTCTGTAGTGGAAGGAAGGCGGGGTAGGGGTCGGCCTAGGAAAGGTTGGAGGGAGGGGGTAAAGGAGGTTTTGTGTATGAGGGGCTTGGACTTCCAGCAGGCATGCGTGAGCGTGTTTGATAGGAGTGAATGGAGACAAATGGTTTTTAATACTTGACGTGCTGTTGGAGTGTGAGCAAAGTAACATTTATGAAGGGGTTCAGGGAAACCGGCAGGCCGGACTTGAGTCCTGGAGATGGGAAGTACAGTGCCTGCACTCTGAAGGAGGGGTGTTAATGTTGCAGTTTAAAAACTGTAGTGTAAAGCACCCTTCTGGCAAGACAGTGATGGAGTGAATGATGGTGAAAGTTTTTCTTTTTTGGGCCACCCTGCCTTGGTGGGAATCGGCCAGTGTGATAATAATAAAAAAAAATTCTTGTTCTTGTTTATTTTGTCTTACCTCCATGGGGAAGTGGAACAGAATTCTTCCTCCATAAGCCATGCGTGTTGTAAGAGGCAACTAAAATGCCAGGAGCAAGGGGCTAGTAACCCCTTCTCCTGTATATATTACTAAATGTAAAAGGAGAAACTTTCGTTTTTCCTTTTGGACCACCCCGCCTCGGTGGGATATGGCTAGTGTGTTGAAAGAAAGATTCCCCACTGTATTGTTTCTTGTTATTTAGTAATGAACTGATTGGCTGTGTTATTGAAGGTACAGTAACGTATCATAGGCGTACCATATATATATGTCTACAGCTGATGGTATGGTGAAACAAAGCATATACTGAATATACATTAAAAGACAGGGATAAACAGACACAAGTCTCTACATCCATACATGCAAAGAAGTCTATGGCCATTGAAAAAGCTATACTGTATAGCTTGCTGCAAGCAATATGAATAGAAGATAAAATATTGTTTTTTATATATGTATTGATTAAAAACTAACCTTTTCGGGGACTGTTTTCCAATTTCCAGGCAGTGCCAGGAGCTCGAAGATCCCAACCCACTATAGAGCCAAATACTGTTGCATATGTCAAAACAGACTGAGATCCTGAAAATTCCAAAAATATTTTTGATCTTCCAAATGAGAATACGTATTATAATCAGTACTTTTTACTGTAAGTACGCACATATTAATATTTGGTTATTAATGACCATGAATGCTAAAAATGAGGTCATATAATTTTAGTAGTAGAAAAAAGACAAAAAGACTAGGTAAAAATATATAAAGAACAGCATACATGTACGTAAAAGTTCTCTTTCTCTCTCCAAGTCATTTTGCTTGGAAAAAATTAACAATTTTTTTTATTTATTAACACATCAGCCATGTCCCACCAAGGCAGGGTGGCCTGAAAAAGAAAAACTTTGATCATCATTCACTCTATCACTGTCTTGCCAGAGATGTGCTTACACTACAGTTATAAAGCTACAACACTAACACCCCTCCTTCAGAGTGCCGGCACTGTACTTCCCATCTCCAGGAATCAAGTCCGGCCTGCTGGTTTCATTGAATCCCTTTATAAATGTTACCTTGCTTACACTCCAACAGCCCGTCAACTCCTAAAAACCATTTGTTTCCATTTGCTCCTGTCTAACATGCTCAAGCACACTTGTTGGAAGTCCAAGCCCCTTGCACACAAAACCTCCTTTACCCCCTCCCTCCAACCTTTCCTAGGCCGACCCCTACCCTGCCTTCCCTCCACTACATATTTGTATAGTCTCAAAGTCATTCTATTTCATTCCATCCTCTCTACATGTCCAAACCATCTCCACAGACCCTCCTCAGCTTTCTGGATAATAGTTTTGGTAATGCCACACCTCCTATCTCCAAACTATGGATTCTCTGCATTATATTCACACCACACATTGCCCTCAGTCATGACATCTCCACTGTTTCCAGCCTTCTCCTTGTTGCAACATTCACAACCCATGCATCACACCCATACAAGAGCGCTGGTATAACTATATTCTCACACATTCCCCTCTTTGCTTTCATGGATAAAGTTCTTTGTCTCCACAGACTCCTCAGTGCACCACTCACCTTTTTCCCCTCATCAATTCTATGATTCACCTAATCCTTTATAGATCCATCTGCTGACATGTCCACTCCCAAATATCTGAACACATTCACCTCCTCCATACTCTCTCCCTCCAATCTGATATCCAATCTTCCATTACCTAATTTTTTTCCTCATAACCTTACTCTTTCCTATATTCACTTTTAGCTTCCTTCTTTTACATACCCAACCAAACTCATCAACCAACCTCTGCAACTTCTCTTCAGAATCTCCCAAAGGCACAGTGCCTTCAACAAAGAGCAACTGTGACAGCTCCTACTTTGTGTTAGATTATTTATCTTTTAACCCCACACCTCTTGCCAACACCTGAGTATTCACTTCTCTTACTACTCCATCTATAAATATATTGAACAACCATGGTAACATCACACATCCCTGTCTAGGGCCTACTTTTACTGGGAAATAATCCCCCTCTTGCCTACATACTCTAACCTGAGCCTCAATATCCTCGTAAAAACTTTTCACTGCCTTCGATAATCTACCTCCTATTCCATACATTTGCAGCATCTGCCACATTGCCCCCCTATCCACCCTATCATATGCCTTTTCCAAATCCATAAATGCTACAAAAACATCTTTACTCTTATCTAAATACTGTTCACCTATGTGTTTCACTGCAAACACTTGGTCTACACACCCCTTATCTTTCCTAAAGCCACCTTGTTCATCTGCTATCCTACTCTCCATCTTACTCATAATTCTATCAATAACAGTTCTACCATACACTTTATCAGGTATACTCAACAGACTTATTCTCCTATTATTTTTTACTCTCTCTTTTGTCCCCGTTGCCTTTATACAAAGGAACAATGCATGCTCTCTGTCAATTCCTAGGTACCTTACACTCTTCCACACATTTATTAAATAAAAACACTAACCACTCCAAAACTATATCCCCAACTGCTTTTAAAATTTCTATCTCTATCTCATCAATCCCAGCTGCTTTACCCCCTTTCATTCTACTCACTGCCCCTACACTCACAACTGGTTCTTCCTCACTCCTACAAGATGTTATTCCTCTTTGCCCTATACCTGAAATCACAGCTTCCCTATCTTCATCAACATTTAACAATTTCTCAAGATATTCCCTCCATCATCCCAATACCTCTACCTCTCCATTTAATAACTCTCCTCTCCTATTTTTAACTAACAAATCCATTGGTTCCCTAGGCTTTCTCAACTTATTAAACTCACTCCAAAACTTTTTATTTTCAACAAAATTTGTTGACATGATCTCACCCACTGCCTCACTTGCTCTCTTTTTACATTGCTTCACCACTCTTTTAACATCTCTCTTTCTCTCCATATACTCCTCCCTCCTTGCATCACTTCTACTTTGTAAAAACCTCTCATATGCTACCTTTTTCTCCTTTACATCATCATTCCACCAATCACTCTTCCCTCCCGCACCCACTTTCCTGTAACCACAAACTTAGACTGAACACTCTAACACTATATTCTTAAACTTACCCCATACATCTTCTACCCCATTGCCTGTATTCTCACTAGCCCATCTATCCTCCAACAACTGTTTATATCTTACTCTAACTGCCTCCTCCTTTAGTTTATAAACCTTCACATCTCTCTTACTTGCTGCTTCCATTTTCCTTGTATCCCATCTACCTTTTACTCTCGCTGTAGCTACAACTAAAAAGTGATCTGATATATCTGTAGCCCCTCTATAAACATGTTCACCCTGAAGTCTACCCAACAATCTTTTATCTACCAATACGTAGTCCAACAAACTACTGCCATTTTGCCCTACATATCTTGTATACTTATTTATCCTCTTTTTCCTTAAAATATGTGTTACCTATAACCAAACCCCTTTCTATACAAAGTTCAATCAAATGCTCCCTATTATCATTTACACCTGGCACCCCAAACTTACCTACCACACTCTCTCTAAATGTTTCTCCTACTTTAGCATTTAGGTCCCCTACCACAATTACTCTTAGCATTTAGGTCTCCTACCAAAATCTCTCTCTCTCCACTATACTCCTCTCTTCTCCAGGTGCATACACACTTATTATAACCACTTTTCACATCCTACCCTTATTTTAATCCACATAATCTTTGAATTTATACATTTATATTCCCTCTTCTCTCTCCATAACTGATACTTTAACATTATTGCTACCCCTTCTTTAGTTCTAACCCCCTAACCAGTGTACTTTATGGGGGTTGTAGCCATGGCAAGTGTATTAATCACTTGGCCAGGTGGCTGAGTGGTTAACCCACTGGCCTGTGAGTTTTAGAACTCAGTCGTCATAGGTTCAAACCCCACCTGTTCTGTGGTTTGTTGGCAATCATGTTATGATTTCGTGAGTCACTGTACACTCACCTGTATCAAAATAATTCATATCTACTACATAACCGTCTTCTTCTGTATTAAGTTGTCTGCTATTAATAAGGCTCATCTTGTCCAATCTGCAAATAAAATAAGAACTAAGAATATCACAAATGATCCTGTCAGCACACATAATAACAAATTCACAATACAGTAGTATTTAAGGCTTCAGATTTAAGTTTTTATAATCTAGTTGTTATTCTTTTATTGCTTCCTAAGTGATATTCAGTAAAATCTTTAATTTCTAATAGAAAGTTATAATTATTTCAGGTTAGTTCAGACAGTCTACAGCAGGAAATTTTTCTATTTTCTAGTGAGTACTAAGCCCAATAATGAAACTGTAATGCACTCAGTTGCTCCTTTAATTCATCCATGTATATAAAACAATCACTACAACAGGGAATTTTCAAGATATAACCAAAGTAATTTAACAAATGAGAAGACACTAGAAAAGAAAACTGAAATACAGTTAAAATGTGATCTGTATATTTCGACCTCAGTCGAGATCCTCTTCTGCAAGCAGAGAGAATCTGCTGAAGACCTGGCTGAAGAGGGTCTCTGATTGAGGCCAAATTATGCAGATCTCTTAACTATTTTGCTTGCCTGCCCAAATGGCTTCTCATTTTGCACTGCTCAGTGTTGATGATCATGGAATCCAAGCAAAGGAATATTAGTTTATCAAAGAAAATAAATTATAACATCAGTCTACAAGAGAAACAGAAAAAATATCTACTTAAGCAGAAGAGTAACTGAACAATACAGGTCAATTTTAATTACTACTGAAGTAAACACACTCAGTGTTTAGAGAAAACACCAAGTGCTTGTTGAAGGAAAGCTTACTTAATAACATGTATAGAACCATTGTTAGACGCAGCAGCCAGACTCTGGTGAGTGAGACACGGTGCCAGGGAGGTGATCAGTCCACCCTGCCTGTTGTACGTTGCCTTTGATCTGGTAAAAATGACAAAACATAAACTTCTCATGTAAGAGACTAGTGTTAATGTACAACAATGGTTATGTGTATTAAGCACAATACATTCTAGGTTATTAAAACCACAAACTCATTTTGAAAAAGAATAACCTCTCATTGTATCAAAGTTCTAATAGCCAATCACACACAGGTAATTACAAGAAGTCCTCAACTTACAAACACACTGGGGAACCTTTTCTACTGTGTGTGTATATTAATGATATTATACATAAAGATTCTCAACATGTTTGTAAATTGAGGACTTATTGTATGGTCAACACTTGATTTAACCCTTAAACTGTCCAAACGTAGATCTACGTTCACGTGCGTAGCACTCCGACCTTGATTTTCCCCATTTGATAGCATGTAAAAAAAGCAGATCTACATTAGAAACCCCACCGCACATGGACGTAGATCTACGTTTGGACAGTTTAAGGGTTTAAAAGAGTAACAAAAGAGCAGGTGACTGATAATGGTGACTGTAGAGGTGCTGGTAAAAAGAACAGACAACACTGTAAACAATAGACTTAATTCATTATTTCCTCAGCAACTGACCAGCAGATTTTGTCCTGCATTTTTGAAGTCTTAAAATGAAGGTTTACTAAATCCCTCAAATTAAACTTTAATTCAAGAACAGTAGAGGATATTTAAGGTAAACACCATTGTTCAACATCAATGAAATTATCATGTTAAGTGTAGCACCATTAATGAACACAAAATTACACTGTACTTGAGCTGGGAAACTATGAATATAGCTACAGTAGATGCAAACTTACCTATTAATCGAAAATTTCCTTTCGATACGGTTACAATCCCACACTTTGACTGTTCCATCATTAGAACAGCTAGCATATATGGAGGTATCACCAATTGATACAAGCCTGCAAAGAAAAATTAATTGCCTCTATGATGCAATATCTTTTTTTTTAACAAGTCGGCCATTTCCCACTGAGGCAGGGTGACCCAAACAGAAAGAAAGAAAAAACTTTTCATCATTCAACACTTTCACCATCAATAAATAAATAAATAAATAAATAAATAAATAAATAAATAAATAAATGAATAGATGTCCCTCCAAACTGCCAATATCCCAAACCCCTCCTTTAAAGTGCAGGCATTGTACTTCCCATTTCCAGGACTCAAGTTTGGCTAATTGGTTTTCCTGAATCCCTTCACAAAATATTACTCTGGTCACACTCCAACAGCTCATCAGGCCCCAAAAACCATTTGGCTCCAAGTCCTCCCCCACAGACCTTCTTTACCCCCTCCCTCCAACCTTTCCTAGGGCGACCCCTACCCTGCATTCCTACAGATATATATGCTCTCCAAGTCATTTTATTTTGTTCCATTCTCTCTAAATGACCAAACCACCTCAACAACTGCTCTTCACCCCTCTGACTAATACTTTTATTAACTCCACACCTAATTTCCACACTATGAATTCTCTGCATAATATTTACACCACACATTGCCCTTAGACACGACATCTCCACTTCATCGAGCCGCCTCCTAGCTGCAGCATTTACAACTCATGCTTCACACCAGCATAAGAGTGTTGGTACCACCATACTCTCGTACATTCCCCTCTTTGCCTCCATAGATAATGTTTTTTTGGCTCCAAAGATACCTCAATGCACCACTCACCCTTTTTTCTTCATCAATTCTATGGTTAACCTCATCCTTCATAAACCCATCTGCTGACAAGTCAACTCCCAAATATCTCAAAACATTCACTTCTTCCATACTCCCTTCCTCCAATGTGATATCCAGTTTTTCTTTATCTAAATTGTTTGATACCCTCATCGCTTTACTCTTATCTGTGTTCACTTTCAACTTTCTACCTTTACAATATACAGTAGCAAAATGTCCATAAATGCTACATATACTTGGGTGAAAAATAATTTGAAGGAAGAGACTAAAATTATGTCCACATAACTATTTCTGAAGGATGAGGTTAACCATAGAATTGATGAAGAAAAAAGGGTGAGTGGTTCACTGAAGTATCTGTGGAGACAAAAAAATGTAATCCATGGAGGCAAAGAAGGGAATGCATGTGAGTATAGTGGTACCAACGCTCTCATGCGGGTGTGAAGCATGGGTTGTAAATGCTGCAGTAAGGAGGCTGGAGGCAGTGGAGATGTGCTTAAGGGCAATGTGTGGTGTAGATATTATGCAGAGAATTCATAGTGTGGAAATTAGGTGTGGTGTAACTAAAAGTATTATTCAGAGGTCTGAATTAGGGTTGTTGGGGTAGTTTGGTCATTTAGAGAGGATGGAGCAAAATAGGATGGCTTGAAGGGTGTATAAATCTGTAGTGGAGGGGAGGAGGGGTAGGGGTCGTCCTAGGAAAGTTTGGATGAGGGGGGGGAAGTAAAGGAGATTTTGTGTGCAAGGGGCTTGGGCATGCAGCAGGCATGTGTGAGCATGTTAGATAATAGTGAATGGAGATGAATGGTTTTTGGGACCTAACGAGCTGTGGGAGTGTGAGCAGAGTAATATTTTGTGCAGGGATTCAAGGAAACTGGTTAGACAGACTTGAGGCCTGGAGGTGGGAAGTACAATGCCTCCATTTTAAAGAAGAGCTCTGGGATATTGGCTGTTCGGAATGAATGATGGTGAAAGTGTTTCTTTTTTTTTTTTTGGTCACCCTGCCTCAGTGGAGATGGCCAATGTGTTAAAAAAAAAAAAAGTTATTTCTGACAATATCTTCATCAAACACACATGATCATCTATTTGTTACCACCTGTTTACAGCTATTGGAGCAGAGGTAAGAGGAAAGACATCATTCGTTCAACTTTTGCCTTGCCAGAAGTGCACAAATATCACAAATCAAATGACCCTCTTGAACTACAACATTCCCCACCCTCCTTCAGAGTTCTTGCACTTTGTATGAGTACATTGGGAGGTGGGAGTAAAGAGGCACTGTATTCCCACCTCTAGGACTCCGGCTAACTGGTTTCTCCAAATCCCTGCATAAATGTTACATCTCTCACACTCCATCATTATGTCAAGCCATAAAAACCACTTGTCTCTATTCAATCTGCTCTAATGCATTCACACAAGCTTGTTAGATGCTCAACCCCATTACATTCAAAACTTCCTTAACCCCTCTGTCTCTAACTCTTCTTGGGTTGAAATGAATCTCTCCTTCCTTCCACCACTGATTAAGACACTCCTTTTCATCCTATTCTGCTCCATCCTATATTAATGCCCAAACAGCCTTAACAACCCTTCCTCAGTGCTCTGAATTATACCGCTGGTAACACCACATTGTCTTTTGATCTTCACACTCCAAATACTATGAATAATATTCACATTAGTAAGCAGTCAAGGGATCTTTTACTGGTGCAGGTAGTGAATTCCAGATCTTCGGGCCCTTTATGTGCATTACATCTTTGCATACTGTGAGACTGACATGAGGGATATCAAAGAGTGCTCTGTGCCTTGTATTGTGACTGTGCATTCTGTTGTAGCTATCAAGGAGAAGTTTAAGTGGAGGGTTTATATTGGAGTTTATTGTTCTGTATATATAGTAGGCACAATAATATGAGAGTATGTTTCGTATACTTAGTAGGCTCAAGCTTTTGAAGAGTGGTGGAGTGTGCTGTCTGGCATAGGAGTTGGTGATCATCATGGAAATGTGGAATTTTGCAAAGTCTTGGAATGTATGTCAATGTTTTACATGTTATGTTAGGCTCACTTTATGTGCCATGGGCCTGGAATGCATATTTTGATTTAAACAAGGGACACTTGCACATCATAAATGATGATAATAATTCTATGCAAAGGCACATGCAAGGAGTAAACACCATTAATTTCAATGATTAACTCTTCACCAATATATAAAAGTTCAGACCTATTGACAGCTCCTCGGTGTTCATGTAAGTGAGCCACAAGATGTCCTCGTGGTCTCCAGCCAGGCGGAGGCAATCTGGTGTCCCATGCAAGTGTTTCCAGAGCACGACGTTTCTTGACGCACACTAAATGTTCCTCACGTTTCATTTCCACGAGGCTTTCCAGTTCCAATTTGCAACTTGATATACATTCTGTTCAAAAGCATATAAACAACTTACTGGTAATGTAGTTTAAGACTTATATTAATGGTCACTAAACCTGAGATAATTACTGGAAATATAATAACCCTGGTTATTTTTAACTGCATAAGAATATCCAAGTCAATGCAGAGTACACTTCTAGCTGCTCCAAAAGAAAACTTTTTAATATAGTTTCAATAAATGTAGGAATTTTGACAAAAGTGTCTGTTCTGTGGGTGAAACTTTTTAACTAATTCCTGGATAGCAACATGATAAGACTTATGAATTACTTCACTGTGACTTAGCTTGAGCTATAATTAAAATACTAGAAAATAAATCACAAAACCTGTAATTGTTTTACATGATGGTAGGATTGCTGGTGTCTTTTTATCTGTCTCATAAACATACGAGATTTCAGGTACATCTTGCTACTTCTTCTTACTTAGGTCACACTACACATGCATGTACAAGCATATATATACATACCCCTCTGGGTTTTCTTCTATTTTCTTACTAGTTCTTGTTCTTGTTTATTTCCTCTTATCTCCATGGGAAGTGGAATAGAATTCTTCCTCTATAAGCCATGCATGTCGTAAGAGGCGACTAAAATGCCAGGAGCAAGGGGCTAGTAATCCCTTCTCCTGTATACATTACTAAAGTTAAAAAGATAAACTTTTGTTTTTCTTTTTGGGCCACCCTGCCTCAGTGGGATACAGCCAGTTTGTTGAAGGAAGAAGAAATCACAAAACCACCCTGAGGTTTGATTCAAGATTTCAATATACATTTTACCAATACTAGAACCACACAAGTTCACCATACAAAATGAATATACAGTAGGTTACAATATTTACCCTCTATAATACTTACTAATAATCCCTTTATTTTCCAAGTCTCCTGACAATAATTTTGTGCTAGGTCCAACATGAGAACCACCATCTGGTTCCGTTGGAGAAATAGATCTGCAAAAATAAACGACATAAATGGCTATTAAATCAGCCAAGCATTATATCTAAATTTAGGAGTACATGGGAATACATGACGAAGACAGTTAATAGAAGGCTTTATGCTCTATATCAGTCATCTGCTGACAAGGCTCTGTACACACTCCTCCAGGCACACTTCTAACACGAAAGAGTCTGTCAAGAGAAATACAGAGGGTGCATGGGAACAGTTGGTTAACAAAAGGACTTGCGTTGTATGGGCCAGTAGGCCTGCTACAGTGTTTCTCCTTTCTTTTATATTGAAAAAAACTTACACACTGACTATATATCAGTAGAAGAATATATCAACAAGTGACATCTGAATGACATCAAACACCCAGCTACATCTCACTTCACTCCTTCCCCACTGCATACACACACAATCCATTTAATTTTCTCCATAAGACCTGATAAAGCTTGTGGTGGATGAAACATCTATTCAATAAAATGTTATAAAAAAAATTTTTTTTACACCAAATGGAGATTGTGAGTGACAGTATCCTGAGACCACCCTGTGTGAGAACAGGAAGTCCTGTCACTCAAAAAAGTCCTTCAGCTTAAAGAGTGAGAAGAGCTATATAATCAATTTAGTTAACCCCTTTTTTATCACACTGGAGCATGATTTAACTGTGCTCTAGTTACTTGTTTTGGTACTTCTAGCTCAACCAAGGCATTCTCACCTTGACGAGCCACTAGAAATTTTTCATATCAATGCAACCTGGAACAGGCAACCAGCATACATTATCCTTAAATTGGATGCAACATGTACACACGTCTGAGTAGCCATCTGAGACTGATACACACACATGCAAAATTTACAGCATTCTCAAATTTCCCACAATCAAACATTTTAAGCCTTCAAACAACTTTCTAGGTCAGGTATAACTTAATAAATCCTGGGAAGAAATCCTGACACAAGCAGTACATTATGGGAGGCAAATGCCCAGTACAGCATCTAGCACTATGACAAGGAGAGATGATTATTTGAGTTTGGGTCAGATTTATTGAAAAAAATCATTAAACCAATATTTTTTATATAACATATTTAACCCTTAAACTGTCCAAACATAGATCTATGTTCACATGCGTAGTGCTCCAAAAGTAGATCTATGTTTTTTTTACATTTTCAAATAGTATAGGTAGTAGGTTGGTAGACAGCAACCACCCAGGGAAGTACTACCGTCCTGCCAGATGACTGTGAAACAAAAACCTGTAACTGTTTTGCATGATGGTAGGATTGCTGGTTTCTTTTTCTGTCTCATAAACACGCTAAGATAACAGGGATATCTTGCTACTCCTACTTACACTTTGGTCACACTTCATAGACACGCACATGCATATATATATATACATACATCTAGGTTTTTCTCCTTTTTCTAAATAGCTCTTGTTCTTTTTTATTTCTTCTATTGTCCATGGGGAAGTGGAAAAGAATCTTTCCTCCGTAAGCCATGCGTGTCGTATGAGGCGACTAAAATGCCGGGAGCAATGGGCTAGTAACCCCTTCTCCTGTATACAATTACTAAAAAAAGAGAAGAAGAAAAACTTTATAAAACTGGGTTGCTTAAATGTGCGTGGATGTAGTGCGGATGACAAGAAACAGATGATTGCTGATGTTATGAATGAAAAGAAGTTGGATGTCCTGGCCCTAAGCGAAACAAAGCTGAAGGGGGTAGGAGAGTTTCAGTGGGGGGAAATAAATGGGATTAAATCTGGAGTATCTGAGAGAGTTAGAGCAAAGGAAGGGGTAGCAGTAATGTTAAATGATCAGTTATGGAAGGAGAAAAGAGAATATGAATGTGTAAATTCAAGAATTATGTGGATTAAAGTAAAGGTTGGATGCGAGAAGTGGGTCATAATAAGCGTGTATGCACCTGGAGAAGAGAGGAATGCAGAGGAGAGAGAGAGATTTTGGGAGATGTTAAGTGAATGTATAGGAGCCTTTGAACCAAGTGAGAAACTTTTAGAGAGGGTGTGGTAGGTAAGTTTGGGGTGCCAGGTGTAAATGATAATGGGAGCCCTTTGATTGAACTTTGTATAGAAAGGGGTTTAGTTATAGGTAATACATATTTTAAGAAAAAGAGGATAAATAAGTATACACGATATGATGTAGGGCGAAATGACAGTAGTTTGTTGGATTATGTATTGGTAGATAAAAGACTGTTGAGTAGACTTCAGGATGTACATGTTTATAGAGGGGCCACAGATATATCAGATCACTTTCTAGTTGTAGCTACACTGAGAGTAAAAGGTAGATGGGATACAAGGAGAATAGAAGCATCAGGGAAGAGAGAGGTAAAGGTTTATAAACTAAAAGAGGAGGCAGTTAGGGTAAGATATAAACAGCTATTAGAGGATAGATGGGCTAATGAGAGCATAGGCAATGGGGTCGAAGAGGTATGGGGTAGGTTTAAAAATGTAGTGTTGGAGTGTTCAGCAGAAGTTTGTGGTTACAGGAAAGTGGGTGCAGGAGGAAGAGGAGCGATTGGTGGAATGATGATGTAAAGAGAGTAGTAAGGGAGAGGAGGTTAGCATATGAGAAGTTTTTACAAAGTAGAAGTGATGCAAGGAGGGAAGAGTATATGGAGAAAAAGAGAGAAGTTAAGAGAGTGGTGAAGCAATGTAAAAGGAGAGCAAATGAGAGAGTGGGTGAGATGTTATCAACAAATTTTGTTGAAAATAAGAAAAAGTTTTGGAGTGAGATTAACAAGTTAAGAAAGCCTAGAGAACAAATGGATTTGTCTGTTAAAAATAGGAGAGGAGAGTTATTAAATGGAGAGTTAGAGGTATTGGGAAGATGGAAGGAATATTTTGAGGAATTGTTAAATGTTGATGAAGATAGGGAAGCTGTGATTTCGTGTATAGGGCAAGGAGGAATAACATCTTGTAGGAGTGAGGAAGAGCCAGTTGTGAGTGTGGGGGAAGTTCGTGAGGCAGTAGGTAAAATGAAAGGGGGTAAGGCAGCCGGGATTGATGGGATAAAGATAGAAATGTTAAAAGCAGGTGGGGATGTAGTTTTGGAGTGGTTGGTGCAATTATTTAATAAATGTATGGAAGAGGGTAAGGTACCTAGGGATTGGCAGAGAGCATGCATAGTTCCTTTGTATAAAGGCAAAGGGGATAAAAGAGAGTGCAAAAATTATAGGGGGATAAGTCTGTTGAGTGTACCTGGTAAAGTGTATGGTAGAGTTATAATTGAAAGAATTAAGAGTAAGACGGAGAATAGGATAGCAGATGAACAAGGAGGCTTTAGGAAAGGTAGGGGGTGTGTGGACCAGTGTTTACAGTGAAACATATAAGTGAACAGTATTTAGATAAGCTAAAGAGGTCTTTGTGGCATTTATGGATTTGGAAAAGGCGTATGACAGGGTGGATAGGGGGGCAATGTGGCAGATGTTGCAAGTGTATGGTGTAGGAGGTAGGTTACTGAAAGCAGTGAAGAGTTTTTACGAGGATAGTGAGGCTCAAGTTAGAGTATGTAGGAAAGAGGGAAATTTTTTCCCAGTAAAAGTAGGCCTTAGACAAGGATGTGTGATGTCACCGTGGTTGTTTAATATATTTATAGATGGGGTTGTAAGAGAAGTAAATGCGAGGGTCTTGGCAAGAGGCGTGGAGTTAAAAGATAAAGAATCACACACAAAGTGGGAGTTGTCACAGCTGCTCTTTGCTGATGACACTGTGCTCTTGGGAGATTCTGAAGAGAAGTTGCAGAGATTGGTGGATGAATTTGGTAGGGTGTGCAAGGGAAGAAAATTAAAGGTGAATACAGGAAAGAGTAAGGTTATGAGGATAACAAAAAGATTAGGTGATGAAAGATTGAATATCAGATTGGAGGGAGAGAGTATGGAGGAGGTGAATGTATTCAGATATTTGGGAGTGGACGTGTCAGCGGATGGGTCTATGAAAGATGAGGTGAATCATAGAATTGATGAGGGAAAAAGAGTGAGTGGTGCACTTAGGAGTCTGTGGAGACAAAGAACTTTGTCCTTGGAGGCAAAGAGGGGAATGTATGAGAGTATAGTTTTACCAACGCTCTTATATGGGTGTGAAGCGTGGGTGATGAATGTTGCAGCGAGGAGAAGGCTGGAGGCAGTGGAGATGTCATGTCTGAGGGCAATGTGTGGTGTGAATATAATGCAGAGAATTCGTAGTTTGGAAGTTAGGAGGAGGTGCGGGATTACCAAAACTGTTGTCCAGAGGGCTGAGGAAGGGTTGTTGAGGTGGTTCGGACATGTAGAGAGAATGGAGCGAAACAGAATGACTTCAAGAGTGTATCAGTCTGTAGTGGAAGGAAGGCGGGGTAGGGGTCGGCCTAGGAAGGGTTGGAGGGAGGGGGTAAAGGAGGTTTTGTGTGCGAGGGGCTTGGACTTCCAGCAGGCATGCGTGAGCGTGTTTGATAGGAGTGAATGGAGACAAATGGTTTTTAATACTTGACGTGCTGTTGGAGTGTGAGCAAAGTAACATTTATGAAGGGATTCAGGGAAACCGGCAGGCCGGACTTGAGTCCTGGAGATGGGAAGTACAGTGCCTGCACTCTGAAGGAGGGGTGTTAATGTTGCAGTTTAAAAACTGTAGTGTAAAGCACCCTTCTGGCAAGACAGTGATGGAGTGAATGATGGTGAAAGTTTTTCTTTTTCGGGCCACCCTGCCTTGGTGGGAATCGGCCGGTGTGATAATAATAAAATAAAAATAACAAAAATAACGTAGATCAAAGTTTTTTTTACACGCTTTCAAATGTAAAAAAAAAAGAAGATCTATGTTTTTTACGTACTTTCAAATGTTGAAAAAACGTAGATCTACGTTTGGACAGTTTAAGGGTTAATAGAAACAAGAGTAAGCAACTTTGTGCTATGCACAGTTTCACTACAATTAATTAAAATTCAACACTTCATAAAATGGTAAGGATTAGCATTTTCCATTATTTTAAGTTACATTAAATTTTTGATGTCCTACAATTTCCTAAGAAATTTTATTAAAAAAAAAAAAAAAAGGATGAGGGGGGGTACTTGCTTCCCCATGCTCCACTTCGATATCAGTCTTCAATGAGTTTGGTATCCTTACTGTGAATGTTTTGCCTACACAGGAGGCTTCTTCAGTCAAATACAGAGGCAGCAGGTGTAGTAGCAAAGATAATGTAATCAGTTCACCATCCAAATATGAAGTGAGTATGTAAAACAGCCTTATGAATGTAATCTAGATTATAACATTTTTACAGTAGGGGATATTGCTAATTAGGACAAACATGCAGCACATGTACTCTTCAACTCTTTCACTGTCGGTGCCGTAGTACTACGGCTTGCAAGCCAATGTTGGTGCCATAGTATTATGCCAAAATTCTAGCAGCTTTATGTCTAGCGGGAGAAAGCTGGTAGACCTGTTTGTGAGGGAATGGGTCTGCATGGTCAGTGTGCGCAGTATAAAAAAAATCGTGCAGCACGTAGTCCATAAGCAAAAAAAAAAAAAAACTCCGACTGTGTTTTTGGTTTAAAACGCTGAATTTGAGGTGTATTTTCATATGGTATTTATGGTTGTATTCTTGTTTTCTTAGTCTCATTTGATAGAATGGAAGATTTATTACAGAAATAGAGATGATTTTGATTGGTTTCCTGATGAAAAGACCTTGAAATTGAGCTCAAAGTAGCGGAAATGTTCGATTTTTGTTGACGTTCAAGAGGAAACAAATGATGTCACCATCCAATCTGTGTTCAAGTGGCCAGTCTGATGTGCACTCATGAATAGGTTGACATTATTTATACAATTATTACAATAATGCAGTAGACTGCGTAACAGTAAATCTTCAATTTTTTGTGGGAATAAAAATTCAAAATGGAAAGCAAGAGTAATATAAAAGGGGCCTGGACACATGACTAATGAACAGAGAACATGTTATTTTAGTGCCAGGAATGTCTGCATTGTTTATTCTAGACCCTATTTTGAAATTGGCATCTTTTGAAATTTGTGTGAAATTGGCCAAATTGAAAATTTCTGACCACTTTGTTGGGTAGCTGAAATCAGTAAATGACCAGTTTCTTGTACTCAATTGATAGAACAAATGGAGTTCTAGCAAAAAAGCTATGAGTTTGGTCGACTGGAACAATGGAATCGGCCGAAAAAAGGGCTCAAAGTGGGTGAAATTGTTGATCTGTATATATCACTGAGACCGCTAACTTTGTGGGAGCGTAATTAAGAATTCCCTAAGTTTTCCTTCAAATTTTGTACTTTTGGTGTCATTACCATCGGGAAAAGATTCTCTATCATTTCATAAGAAAAAATATTTTTTTTTTTTTTTAAGTTCTTTGACACTGAGAGCAAGTTTGTGAGCAGGAGTCTCAACAGTGAAAGGGTTAAGCAGTACTCTTATTTATTTATTTACTTAATTATTAGTAAATAATTAAGAATTAAATCAAAGAAAAACCAGAGATGAAGTCTGGGCTTAAGGCGTGCAGCAAGGCTGCTTCACAATGCATACCTAAAGTATGACGGCTAATAGATACATAGGAAAATTTTATAGGATTATAGTGTGTAATACAAAAGAGCAGTGGAGTACATACAGGAAAGAAATTAAGCAGTCCACAATGGCAGGATTAAAGAGGGATTCCAAGTTGTCATGTTGTACATTGCTTTATTAGATAAGTTATGAGTCTCACATGCAGAGCCACAAAATGCTCATTAAGAAAATTACCTGTTATCCATTGTTCTTGTTGGTGAGATACGACCTTCTGCTGTTCCAAACATAGCTTGCCATTCTTCATTCATAGTCATACTTGGAGACTGTACCATTCCTCTCTGAGAGCTGAAAAAAAAAAAAAACATGATTTACAGCACAAATTTAGCAAGGAAATTTTAAGGAAGGGAGGGTTTCTATGTTAGATCAGGGGCGGGCAAAATACAGCCCGCAGATCCTATCTGGCTCACCAAGGAATTCCATCCCGCCTTCCAATGTATATAGCAATTTAAGAAACAATTTAAGAGACAATTCATTTTGATTTGATTGTCTTAATCAAGTGTAAGTGTTAGGCCATCACATCAAAACCTGTCAACACCTAACACAATATAACCTTTTAGATTTAGTATACCTTATACCTTTGAAGAATTTTGAGAGTTAATCTACTCTCTGAGCCCGGCCAAGGGCCAGGCTCGTCTGGTGCTTGCCTGGTCAAACAGGCTGTTGCTGCTGGAGGCCCGCTGCCCCACATATCCACCACAGCCTGGTTGATCTGGCACCTGGTGAAGATACTTGTTCAGTTTCCTCTTGAAGGCTTCTACACTTGTCCCAGCAGTGTTTCTGGTATCTTCTGGTAAGATGTTGAATAGTCTGGGACCCCGGATGTTGATACAGTGTTTCCTTATTGTCCCCACTGCACCCCTGCTCCTCGCTAGATTTATTTTACACTTCCTCCCATATCTCTCACTCCGCTATGTTGTTGTGGCAGTGTGCAGATTTGGGACCAGGCCCTCGAGTATTTTCCAGGTATACATATATATATAATCATGTCTCTCTCTCTCTCCTCCACTCCAATGAATACATGTTCAAGACTTGCAGGCATTCCCAGTAGTTTAGGTGCTTTACAGGCTCAATGTGAGTCATAAAAGATCTCTGTATTTGTTCCAGCTTCGACATTTCTCCTGCTTTGGCTGCCCTCCCTCTGTTGATCTCGGGATGAGTGCATGTTAATTCCACCTGTGTTCCAGCATTAGTACTTCAGGTGCCCATCTAGTAGCATGGGAATTCTCTATTTTTTCTTCTGTTCGTACATTTGTTTACTTCTGGCCCAGTAAGGTTTGGGAGGGAGTGACTTCCAGGGCTTTAAACTCTGCTTGGAGAAAATTGTGGCCAGAATGTGTACATGAGAGGGATTTTTTGGTAAAGAAAGTGAGAAACACAATAGAATTCAAGAAAGAACTTGTGGGAAAATATGAAAGTGGCGTATGTGTAGCCGAGCTCGCCAGGATATATGGCAAGTCAACATCAACAATATGTTCCATCCTAGCGAAGAAAGCAGAAATCAAGGAAGCTTAAGTTGTGAAAGGGGTGAATCTGGTGACCTGTACTTAACTCTGTGAAGAAGTGTCTTGTGTGCTCTCCATGGACTGAACCAAGATGCCCTCCATCGAGCAACTTTACCAGCAGCTTAAGGAAGAATTGAGAGTAGCGAAGATGGAGATACGGCAATTGACTGAGGAAAACAAGAGGATTCGTAGTAGTCTTCCTGTTTTGAATCCTCAGGCCAAGAAGGGAATGTGGTCAGTGGCTGGACAGCATGGAACGAAGTTGACGATCAAGAAGGCAAATGGAAAGGTAGAAACGATGAAGAAGAAAGAGACTGCTGTGGAAACATCTAATGCATTCTCTGTGTTACCCGACGAATGTGAGTCGACTACTGGAAACGTCACGACGAATGACACTGAGAAAGGTAAGAATATTGTTGTTGTTGGGGATAGCCAGGTTAGGTACATGGATAGGGCATTCTGCTTGAAGGACAGGAGTAGGAGACAGAGGGTTTGCTTTCCTGGGGCTGGGATGGAGGATATTGTTAGCCGGCTTGACAACATCATGAACGGTAATGGGATCAATCCTATTATCTGCCTCAGTGCTGGAGACAATGATATAGGCAAGCGTAGAAGTGAGGATTTAGTTAAAAGGTTCAGGACAGCAATAGACTTAATTAGGAAGAAGGAGGGGTGCCCTGTTATATGTGGCATTTTGCCAAGAAGGGGTGTTGGAAATGAATGGTTGTCCAGAGCAATTGGTATTAACTGTTGGCAGGATAAACACTGTAAAGATAATGCAGTAACATTCATTGACAACTGGGACAACTTCTATGGCTGAAATGACATGTATGCCAGGGATGGGGTTCACTTATCCAGGGCAGGTGTGGGTTTTCTTGCTAGCTCAGTTGAAAGGGTTGTTAGGACTTTAAACTAGGATTAGTTAGAGATATGGGTTTAGAAATGATAAATAATGAGTATGGATACATTGACTTATGCTCTGATATTAAGAATCTTAATAGTAACTGTCATGGAGTAACTCTGGCTAATGATAATTTCAGAGACTGTGTAAAAACAAAGATGAACAGGAAAAATGTGAAGAAGAAAAAAACACATGATGGTATTTTTTGCTAACAGTTGAAGTGTAAGAAATAAGATTAATGAACTACATTTGGTAGCATGTGCTGGGAACTTAGATGTCATTGCATTAACTGAAACCTGGTATGATTTAAAGTCGGGATATGATTGCTGAGTGTAATATTCAAGGGTTTAAGCTCTTCCATGTGGATAGATGTAATGGGAAGGGGGGAGGAGTTGCATTATATGTTCGAGAAAATATTAACTGTTGCATAAAAACAGGTATAAAAATAGATGGAACAGTAACAGAATCTCTTTGGGTAGAGTTTGTAGAGGGTCAAGAAAAACTAATTCTAGGTGTAATATACCGACCTCCAGGCTTGGATCATGATAGAGGGAGACTTCTTTGTGACGAAATTGTTAGGGCTTCTAGACACAATAACATAGTGATAGTAGGGGATTTTATCTTTAGTCAAATTGACTGGAATTCTTTGGCCGGTAATCTAGAATCCAGTGACTTTATGGAAACACTTCAGGACTGTTTTCTAAAGCAGTGTGTAACAGAGCCTACCAGGGGTAATAATTTGCTAGACCTAGTCTTGTCAAATAAGGAAACACTCATAAATAATCTGGAGATCACTGAAGAGCTTGGCACAAGTGATCACAAATCCATCACTTTCAGCATTAACTGGGAATACAAGAATAATGATAATACGGTAAAAATCCCAGATTTTCGTTCTGCCGATTACAATGGGCTTAGGGAACACCTGTCAAATCTCGATTGGGGTTATCTAGCTAATGATTTAATTGATGATGATCATACTTATGATTATGAGTATATACATTCCCCAGAGAAATTAGGTCTAATAATAATGATCCCAAATGGATTAACAGGAGGCTAAAGCATCTATTAGGGGAGAAAAGGGGAATTTATAGGCACATCAGAAGAGGAGAGGTTAACCTTACTGACCAGTATGTCCAAATTAAAAGAGAAGTAAAAAAGGGGATTAGAAAGGCTAAATGTGACTATGAAATCAGAGTTGCTAATGAATCAAAGACTAATCCAAAGGGGTTCTTTCAAGTGTATAGGACGAAGGTGAAGGAAAAAGTAGGACCTCTGAAAATTGGGAATGGACAGCTGATGGATAACGAACTGGTCATGTGTTCCTTATTTAATGACTATTTTTTGTCAGTTTTTACACAGGAAGATGTAAATGAGATTCTAGTAATTAACAATTATTTAGTTCATGATGAATTTAAATTAACTAATATTACTGTCACGAGGGACATGGTTATTAAACAGACAGACAAACTGAAGCAAAATAAGTCCCTGGGACCCGATGAGTTGTTTTCCAGGGTACTTAAGGAATGCAAGATGGAGCTTAGTCAGCCATTAATGAGTGTGTTTAATGCGTCCATCCTTACCGGTGTTGTGCTAGAGTTGTGGAAGATGGCTAATTTTTATTTATTATCACACTGGCCGATTCCCACCAAGGCAGGGTGGCCCGAAAAAGAAAAACTTTCACCATCATTCACTCCATCACTGTCTTGCCAGAAGGGTGCTTTTACACTACAGTTTTTAAACTGCAACATTAATACCCCTCCTTCAGAGTGCAGGCACTGTACTTCCCATCTCCAGGACTCAAGTCCGGCCTGCCGGTTTCCCTGAATCCCTTCATAAATGTTACTTTGCTCACACTCCAACAGCACGTCAAGTATTAAAAACCATTTGTCTCCATTCACTCCTATCAATGGCTAATGTGGTTCCTATATTCTAATCAGGGGATAAGTCCACTCCTTCAAATTCCCGTCCAATAAGCCTGACATCTATAGTGGGCAAGTTATAAGAATCAATTATAGCTGACATTATTAGAAGTCACCTTGAAGAGCATAACTTGATAAATGAATCTCAGCATGGATTCACGAGAGGTCATTCCTGCCTGACAAACTTACTGACGTTCTTCAATAGAACATTTGAGGCAGTTGACAGTGATAAAGAATATGTTATTGTTTATTTGGATTTTAGTAAAGCCTTCGATAGAGTACCTCACAAGAGACTCTTAAGAAAAGTGGCAGCTCATGGTATAGGAGGTAAAGTTCTAGAATGGATAGAGGCATGGCTTACCAATAGAAAGCAGAGAGTTACCATTAATGGGGTGAAATCTGAATGGGGATTAGTCACTAGTGGCATTCCACAAGGATCAGTTTTAGTCCCTCTCTTGTTCATAATTTACTTTAATGACCTTCATGAAGGGATTACGAGTGACATGAGTAAATTTGCTGATGATACAAAGATAGGCCGTATAATTCATTGAGGAGGATAGCAATGAACTCCAGGAGGATTTGGACAAATTAATGTCCTGGTCTACAAAATGGCAGATGAAGTTCAATGTGGATAAGTGTAAGGTACTAGTCCTTGGTAATGAAAATAACCCTTGAAGCTATAATCTAGGTGAAGCAGAGCTTGATCATACAGAATGTCAAAAAGACTTGGGAGTCATGGTAAGCAGAAATCTAAAGCTAAGACAGCAGTGCCTTAGTGTGCGCAACAAGGCTAACAGATTACTTGGATTTATCTCAAGAAGTATAAGTAACAGAAGTCCGAAAGTTATTTTACAGCTCTATACATCACTAGTGAGGCCTCATTTAGATTATGCTGCTCAGTTTTGGTCCCCTTACTACAGAATGGATATAGACTCATTAGAGAACATACAGAGAAGAATGACT